TAGTTATGTATAATATATTACATTTCTGACTGTATATCCCTGTAATTATTACACACTGTAGCTTTAAATAAACTGAATTGAATCTTGCTTGGAATACATTGATCATACCTGTGGTGGATGAGGCCAGTAAAGTAGCTTCTCGTTTCAATCATAGCCAGATATCTGACTTGGAGTAAAACATCAAAGAAAAGGTAAAGGTTCACTGTTTTTATACTATAGGTTACAACAGGCACACAGATAGATGTGTTTTAGCTTCAATATCCACTGTCATTTTCCTCTAACAGGTCAAACCTAAATATTTATTATATAGTTAAACTGAGATATTAAAGAGCGGTTTCACTAAAAGTGGACTTTCAAAGCAAAATAGAATTGCCAATTGATATTTAGCAGGGTTCTTTAGAAGGAGGTACAACTGAGACCTGGTTGTGGATAGACCCCATGGCTCACCTGTTTCTAGTAGACAAAAACTTAATGCATCCCAAGTCCATCTTGGGATGCATTAAGTTACAGGATATCTTCTAGGAACCTCTGCCACACATAAAAACATCATCCTAAAAATGTATTCTATAAATAAAGTGATTATCCTGATTGGTGATGGAAGCCAACTGTAGTACCAAGTCCTGTGACCTGAATAACAACAACGGCTTTTCTCTCTTTTCCATTGATCTACCCAATGAAAACGCCATGGCTAACTGATGTTAGATTTCTGATAGGAGTGAGAGAGTGAGTCTCACTCCAAAGGTGTGAACCCTAGGATTTCTCAAACTGGGTTTCCTGAAAGTTGGAAACTTGTGACAAGTTTTAGCCCAGTTTTTTTTGGTCCAATTTGGCTCTTTGAACTATTTGTTGAACTATTGCAGACCCCTGGAATAAGCCAAGAACAACTCGACTTCTCCAGATCTGGACACAGAGTCTACAGCTCTCAACATCTAACACCCCCCTATAAGAGAACATGTGAGTTAGAAAAACATTCTATATTCCTTTGAGATCAACAAAGTATTTTTGACTTTTATCAAATTACTATTACTTATAAGAAAAAAAACTCTGAGCCTAGTAACAGGATCATTTTTGTCATTTTCAAAGACTGAAACAAAATAATAGATACCTGGTTAGATCCAACCTCCACCAGAACCTCTCCCTTGTTATTAATAAAAACGTACACTATAGCCTTGTGGGTTTGCTATAGCTTGTTATCTTCCAGGCTGTTCAACGGCGGTTCCCATTAATCTTCACAAACAAAGCCTTGAAACTCCACTCCGAGTGGCGTGAAGGACCTGAAGACTGCTCACAGCCAGCTGCAACTGAGAACAACCTCATAAATTGCTGTATGGGGGCAACAGAGGCTCAGCTGTAGAAAAAGAAAGGATTTCTGTGGTTCAATAAGCACTTCGAATCACTCTTAATCCAGACAGCAAAGTTAATTAAATACGGTTTTATTTCTGCTGCTTGCAGCAACATTTCATAAGACAACAGAAGCAAAATATAAGAAAGACGGCAAAAGGTGTGATTACTTAAATATATCTTTGACTGGTAGCTCGGCTGTTGGGTGTGTTCCTGCTTGTGTCCACTGGGCCCCTACGAGGGGCATGGTGGCATCCAGTGACTATCACTCTTCTGAAACCTCGTCTCATTTCTTTTAGGATGCTAATCAGATTCACGCTTCCTGTTCTTTTCTACATCCAGCTTCTTGAAATGTTTCAGGGGTTTGGCCGTTCGGATCAATCTGCAGGAAGAGAATTGACGGATTCTTCAAAGTCTTGTGGAAATGAGGAGTTCTGCATAGCCAACGTCCCGATCTGGTGGTAAAACTGACTTTGGTAAAACACATGACTGAAGGCTATAGTTACAGCTGGTGAGTTCATGGTTGTAAAAGAAGGAGCCGTATTTTATAAGGCACCCTTGAGAATGTGATAAGCCAATTTTCTCCTGACGTGAATCTGATGTAATGGATGGTAGGTAAGGGGAATTAACTCCCCATGCTGACTGTGCAGCAAAGGACAAGAACTGCTTTACAATTTGACGGAGTTTCTAAGATTAGGGGGGAAAAAAAGGATGAGCTTAGCTCTCGCAATGTATTGGAGTCAGTGTTAGGCTGCTGTTTGCTTTGCAGGATCCGCCGCAGCCTCGGATGTCGTGAATATAATCAGAAGAATCCCTCCATTGAGTTCATCTTCTGAAGAGAAGTTCTTCTTGAAGACCTGCTTCACCCAGAAATGTCAGTTTATGTAGGTGTTGGGTTACTTTTAACCCACATTCCCGTTAAATCAGTGCTCCTGGTGTGAACATCCTTCAGCTAAACGCCCACAGAAGCATGCGTCGTTCCAATCCTTCAGGACTGGTTAAATATCCGTTTGCAGACAGAACACCAACAAAGCACAATTACAGTTTGTTCAAAATCAAGTTCTCTTCCCAACAAATTTTCACTTCACCCATTTTGTTGGCTTTCTGCAAACAAGGCAGCCATTGTCAGAGTACCAGCTCTGTTGTCATTCAGTCCAGCCTCAGGTAGCTGGGAATAGAGTAGTTGAACATGAGGAAGTCCATTCTGTAAAGCTGGTAGAGTTGGACCTGTTGCTGAGCGCTGATATTGCTGAAGAACTGAGCAGTCATGGTGTCTGTGGTACGGGTGGACTTGGCGTAGCTTGGGAAGCGCAGGGACTCGCCAACACCCACCAGCCCCAATATGTGGTTGGCATCCTCTTCGAGGGTCTCGTACTTGCCCACCATGTCATAGTGGATGTGACACGGATGACAAAGCTGGTAAACTGTCTGCCAGTGCTCGTTGAGAGGGCGACCGCGCTGTGTGGCCGGGTCCACCAGGTAATCAATGAATTCTTTGAATTTGACGTCGTCGCCGTTGACCAGGGCTTCCTGGGTGGCGTTCTTACGGTAGCGTCTGATGATCCGGGTGCCGAAGCGCTTATGGAAGGAGGAATTATACTTGAGGGTGAACTTGTTGCGGTAAGCAGAGACCAGCCTCTCAAGGGGCTCACGGACAAAGAGGAACTTGAAGTAGTTCTTGAGGCGATGGTTGATCTCGGCGATGCTGTACTGATTCAGCGTCTTCAGGTTGGAAGGAACGTGGGCCTGATTAGCGGGGATTTCCATGGGATCACTGCGCAGGAGAGGCACAAGGACAAGGAGATGCAATTACTGGGCGAGTCAGACCACTGCACATCCTGTAGGCATAGCCTAGTTTAAAATAGGATAGAATCACAAGTTTGC